TACAAGTACTATATTACTTTTCTTATATCTCAATCATATTTCATCGATGAAGCTTTTCATATATCGCAGACAATATGATACTGTGTGTGGAATTTTACACAGGTAATACATGGCACAAAAATAATTTGTTCTCAAATATTGTACACATTTCTCAAAAATAAATCAAATTAAATTATTTTAAGTAGGATCCAAAAATCACAACATTGTCAGGATTGTATCTTATTATAACTGCGATATTATCACTTTTTAATATGTGTGCGCAGTATTACATACATAAAATATATAAATTTATTTGAAACGTACAGAAATCTTTATCTTATTTATAATATTTATGATATAAAAGAAAATTGCAACTCTAATGAAACAGAGCGGTGGAATAATTGGTTGATACTTATGCTGGTCTACAATATTTATCCTTTTTCATCATTAGATTTTTGGTGCTTTTTTTATTATACAGATGTTATCTGTAAATATAGTACTGGTAATGTTGCTTCTGTATCACTGTAAGCACACAAAAATGATAGCATTTGCAGGTAATTATGTTATACTTATATATCATAAGAAAGAGAAAATAAAATTAAAGTTGAATACTGAATGTGCTCTAAAGTAAATCTCATCTAAATAAATAAATGCATAAATGTGCGCCCCACATTCCTCATGAAAAAAATACATAATATTAATTTTTATGTATTATTTTTAGATTTTTATTCTTTTAAATTAACTAGATGCACTTTTCATTTCTCCTCTCTTTCTTTCCAACTACTAAATATAGATATATCATTTTTAATATATTTTTATAAATAAAAAATGTTTCTTTCTAATAAATTAAATATAAATTAAATTCATATAAATTAAATAAAATTAAATATAAATTAAATTCATATAAATTAAATAAAAAGTATAATATGCCTTTAAATACTTTATATATATACCTGTTGCAATAAACCAGTAAAGAATGTTTTTACATTCCTCCTTGTACTTTGGCATACATATCCTTTATGCCAATTATCTCGCAACACGCTTTTATCGCATGATGACAAACAAGCCCATTATCCTTCATGAATTTTCTTTACAAATATTTTTATATTTTCAAACTGTGTAAAGAAATCATGTAACACTGAAAAATACAAAGTGATATTAAAAGAGAAGAAATAAATTTTATATTATATAGTATTGACAAGTATTTTCTTACCAGTGTGTTCCTTATATGTAGGAATATACATTAATCTTTGACCAGCCCTATTTTTAATCATCTTTAGGGATACTTTGGCTTTTGATAATGCAAATCCAGCCAATCCATTTCCATTCCCAGTTACTATAAATGAATTGATTCTAGTCTTACATGCTAAATTACTGGTCATACAAGTTATCATTTTGTTTTCCAAAATCCAGGTTTCAAAACTTTCAAATGTATCTGCAGAAAACAAAGATATTAATTATATAAGATTCTAATATTTAGAACTGAAACATCAAAAAAAAAAAAAAAAAAATTGAAAATAGACATCGTATCACATGATTTTTGTATGTATGTAATTTAACCATTATAATCCAATAATAGCATAAATATTAACCTTTTCCAATAAGATCTGATTCAATGCTTCTGCCATCCATTGTAACACTCCTCCAACCACATTCCAATGGCGATAATTTTATTTGCATTGGTCTGGTCTTACTTTGTGGTAATTCCATAAGTTTTTGCTTTCTTTCAAGATTTACAAGCAGTTTTAGCTGTTGAATTAATTCTTTTCCTCTAAACACAGAAGTGTTCAGACTAGGAAATTGTATCGGAATTTTTCCCATGCCAATAATTTGCTCCTTATTTAGGTCTCTCTTTTCACTACTCTTCTTGCTCTACCTCTGCGTCTTCCTGCATTACTGATACTTGTCACACCCTTTCATAATTCATCTTCAGGTCCTATAGAACAAAAGCACAGTGAAATACAAACTATTTTCTACTGTAAATATAAACTATTATCAAAATGCTATATCCATAAAAGTTCTACTTACTATTCGCAAAGAACATAGAGTTTCTCACATTATTTAATAAAGTGACTATTTTTAATAAATGTGAATGACTGACAAGCAATAAATTAAACAATATTAAACAATAATATACCTGAAAAAAATTTCATTAATTTTATTAGAGTTAAATTGATAAATTAATTTTAAATACACATTATATGTTAATTACATATAATGATTAAGAGACAATGATATATTTCATTTGCGTTACCATTGTTTACAGATTGAACATTTTTTATCAAATTATTTACAACTCTAAATATGTAGCATACGACAAGCCATTTTTAAAATCTATAAAACAAACAACAAAGTTGTTCATAGTTTTCACTCTTTTTTGTCATAGTCTGCTTTTAGGCAATCTTAAAGTCACAAAGTGTGCACTGTTTGCACTATCGGACGCCATTTTTGCTCCATCTTATCTTATTGAGATCAAAATTGTGGTACTTTGTTAATCTAGTGACTTTAGGCGGACTAATCAAAAGTGGCCCCCTGATGGCCAAACTCTTATTAGAGGGTCTCTATCTATGACATATATGTTTTTCAATGACAGTTATTCAGCAAGATCAAGCAAAATAAGTAAAGACGGAGAGAAGCCTTCTCTCTGGTAAAGATGTCGGTCACCATGGATCCTGTCAGGGAAAAAGCCTTTCAAGATTATAGAAAGAAGCTATTAGAACACAAGGAAGTCGAGTCACGTCTTAAAGAAAGTAAGATACTCTTGATTGCTATCGTGTATTTTATGTATGTTTTATATGTTTGCAAAGAGAATTCGAGACGTATAACCTTATTTCCTCTTCCTGTCTCATGATCTCTTCTGATATTTACGTTCGATTTTATATTATTGAATGTTTTTATTATTGTGATGTTAATATATTTTTTATCATATTATATATTATATATATATTTACATAATAAATTTATAAAAAGCATGATTATATAAAGTTATACTTTTCTAGTTATACTTTTCTTATATTTTTCTAGTGAGAGAACACTTTAAAGATCTGACAAAGCAATATGACAAGTCCGAAAATGATTTAAAAGCATTGCAAAGTGTTGGACAGGTATCGTCATTTCATCTTTTTTTTTATTAAAATATAATAATATAATTTATTTTATTCTATTTTATGAATTGTGTCTTGCAGATTGTTGGAGAGGTATTAAAACAACTTACCGAAGAAAAATGTAAGTAATTAATATATAGGAATATTTTGATTGCACATTTAATATTGTCAATGATTATTTTATCTCCTATTCACATTTAATGTTGTCAATGGCTTTATTATCTCCTATTTATATTTAGTAGAAAAATTGAATTTAATATATATGAGAGATATATATTTTTATATTAAACATAGATAAACTACAAATTAGTATAAAATAAAAAATAATGAACATTTATTTATAGTTATTGTAAAAGCAACGAATGGCCCACGTTATGTTGTTGGATGTCGGCGTCAACTGGATAAAAACAAATTAAAATCTGGAACTAGAGTTGCTTTAGATATGACAACTCTTACAATTATGCGCTATTTGCCACGTGAGGTAAAAGAATTTTTTAACCAATTAAAGTATTAGTCCTTTTTTCACCCAAAAATTTATTCGTCATGTTACTATTTTCTTTAGGTTGATCCATTAGTTTATAACATGTCTCATGAAGATCCTGGTGACGTGACTTATTCTGCAATTGGTGGCTTGAGTGAACAAATACGAGAATTGCGCGAGGTTATTGAATTGCCATTATTAAATCCTGAACTTTTCCAAAGAGTTGGCATCACTCCTCCTAAAGGATGCTTACTATATGGTCCTCCTGGTACTGGAAAAACATTATTAGCAAGAGCTGTTGCCAGTCAGTTGGATGCAAATTTTTTGAAAGTTGTTTCAAGTGCTATTGTTGATAAATATATTGGAGAATCTGCCAGATTAATTAGAGAGATGTTCAATTATGCTCGAGATCATCAACCTTGTATTATATTTATGGATGAAATTGACGCCATCGGTTTGTATATATAAGACTTGCAATAAACAAAGAAATATCTAAGTTGAAAGGGATTTATATGACTAAGTATTAATACGTTTTACGTATATATAGGTGGTCGTAGATTTTCGGAAGGAACAAGTGCTGATCGAGAAATCCAGAGAACCTTGATGGAATTGTTAAATCAAATGGATGGGTTTGATTCTTTGGGTCAAGTGAAAATGATAATGGCTACAAATAGACCCGATACCTTAGATCCTGCATTATTACGACCAGGAAGATTGGATAGAAAAATTGAAATACCGCTACCCAATGAACAAGCTCGCCTGGAGATTTTAAAGATACATGCCTTGCCGATTGCCAAACACGGCGAAATTGGTAAAAAACTTATCAGTTACAAGTTTTATAATTTTACATACTTTGCAATATTTAAAATATTTGTTATTTATAAATGTACAGATTATGAGGCAGTAGTCAAATTGTCGGATGGATTCAATGGCGCTGACTTGAGAAATGTGTGCACAGAAGCTGGGTTGTTTGCGATACGACTAGAAAGAGAGTATGTAATACAAGAAGATTTTATGAAAGCAGTCAGAAAAGTCTCTGACAATAAGAAACTCGAATCCAAATTAGATTATAAGCCTGTGTAATTCAATATAAGTTGAGTTATTATTTTATCTGTCAAAATAACATTAAATGTCTATTCATTTCAATATGATCCAAGTTGGATTATTTTTTATTATTTTGCTATATTATTTCTCTTTTTCCTGATAAAATTGTACTTCTACAGAAGTTTACTCAATATTAACATTGTCGAATTTTGTATAATACAAAAAAAATACATTTATGCACAAGCTGAGATTAATGAGATCATTATTAATAAGATCATTAAAACAAATATATATCTTTATTTCTGATTTCAATCATTATAATATGTTTATATAGTTTACAATATAAATATTATAAATATTAAACACATTTAAAACATTGTAATAATGATAATTTATTCTATATTATTGGTGAGTCGAATTTTTTTTCTTTCTAAATATTCTTGTACATTGTCATATTTTCTTTTATATAAAATTGGGAACAAATTTTGTTTAACAATAGTATTTTTCAGAGTTTCCCAAGAATTATTAAGATGTTTAAGTGCTTGATTTAAAGTATTATGACTTACAAACCTATTGTTTTCAAATTTATATACTTGTAGTCCTGTATCTATTAATATCCATAAATCTTGTTTGTGTAAAAGACATTCTATAGGTTCACCTTCAACAGTTATGGATTCCAAATAATTTGCGTCAAACTGTGTTTTAGTGTTACTAGTAATGTTAAAAACTAATAGTACTTTACTACTATAAAAGCTTATTATAACTAGAGATTCTATCTTACTAAGATAAGATACTCTTAAATGTTTAACAGGCAATATATCTATAGATTCATAATGATAGTCTTGAAGATCTTGATTAAATTTCTCAATGTCACATTTGGGTATTTTATCACTAAAATTCACAGATATCAGTTCAGTTCCACATTTATAATCCCATAATTTTAAAACTCCATCACCACCGCACGATATTAAGATATTCTTCTTGTGAGGCAATTCCGATATATTTGTTACAAATTTTTCATGTCCTAAACAGTAAGACATAATGTTGTAGCAATTCGGGAACATGGAAACCCTGATCTTTTCGTCCCTGTCGGTTGTCAAGATATATTTCATATCCTCTGTAATGAGTACATCGAGGAGCATCGACAAGTGGCCCAAGATCAAAGTTCCACTTTCCGTTGGCAAACTGGTGGAGAACAGGTAAGCGTCTCCAGCCTTGTCAGCAACTATGATATCGTTGTTTGGAGAGAATCTCACTTTGCTCGCGGCTCTGGCGAGCGTTCGATTTGACAAAAGCCTTAAGTTTCCCGTCTCGTACAAGCACAACTGCTTGCGATTCGTGCACACTGCAAAGTACCTTCCATCATCGGAGAACATTACGGATGTTATCATGTGATAAGTCTCGATATCCACATTATTATGCACGTCTATCTTCCTGTTTGTTTCCAAATCGGGCAAGGCTATCACATTTTCGCTGTTATTGTCAACATTGTGTATTATCACGCGTTCGTTGTTGCACAAAGCCACGTGTGAGTCATACACGGAAAAACTCATAACTGGAACGTTTGTAAAAAATCTTCACCTTCAAAGTAACGTTGTGTTTTCAATGATGAAAAAATTATTTTTAGTTATTATTAAAGTGAGAAGCCTCGAGAAATCTGAGAGAGGCTATGCTAGTGTTTCTCGTTGGACGCTTTCCATACAATAGAATCGTTTCTTTCAAAAATAGGAAACACAATGACAATCACTGTCGGTTAAATCGCGACTTGGTGCGTATCCATGCTCTATCATAAATTGTCAATTAGGAATACGAATGAGAAATATAATTAAGGATATATTAGTATGTTTTCCAGTTTCGCATTTTGATGCCTTCAAGAAAAAAGACAATGGGTCTGTTCTTTTCAGCTGCACTACTGCACTAGTGCAATTAGTTAGAGTGAAAGAAAGCATGTTTGTCTCTTTCTAACTTATTGCACTAGTGCAGTAGTACAGCTGAAAAGAACAGACCCAATATCGCGTAACTACGTTTAGGAATATCTATTTCAATACCTACTACGATGAAAAACATCGGTCAACGTATGTATGTACAGTGCGCGTCAACGATCCTGTTGTAAGCGGGGCAAGCGAGCGACTGGCCAATTAAGCCGTCTACAATAGACAATTTAAGATCTAAGTCTTAAGAAATTGACCAATCACAGTCGAGTATGAAGAGAATACTCGATTGTGATTGGTCAATTTCTTAATTAATAAGTGAATTAAATAAAAAATATAAATATATATATATATATATATATATATATATATATTGTACTTAATAAATATATTTTTATAAAAATATTAGATGTAATTTTATATATATTATCATTTGATAAAATGAAAATATATGTAACAGAATACAACCTCAACTATAAATCCACAAATGAACTAAATTAATATTGACAAATATTAATTTTTTAGAAAATGCGTTATAAAAATGTTTATATTATTAAACATATTTTTGATTCAATTATTTTGTTTTATTCAAAAATGGCGCGTAGTAAGTAATAAAACACTTCCGCTATCCCATTAATGGCGGCTTCATCCCATCCCTCTCTTGAGGATCCCTATGATTGGCCAGTTCTACGCTTTCTTCGCCCCTTCCAGGACAGGTCGTTGACGTGCACTGTACATACGAATCCGCGAATCAGAGCGAAGCGTGATTGAATGCGCCTGTGGTTCGTCTAGGACTCCCAAAGGCGAACGGGCAGGTGACAGATTCGCCGGGATATCGTGCTTCTCGTGCCTTGTTTTTTTCTCGCCGGACCCGATATGATAGCGATTATTAATCGGGCGACTACGCGCCGGACGCTTTCATAGGCGCGATCCGAGCTATAAATATCGGGATAAAACGCGCGGCGGGATTTAAATTTGGAGCGTAATCGGGCGGAACAGCCGGCTCGACGAGGCGTGGAGGACGACGGCTATTTTAAAACGATATCGGAAGGACCCTTTTTATGACGGATTCGGCGCGAGGCGACACTTCGGTGCGATCGACGTTTCTCGAGGATACCTTCGCCCATCTTCGCCGTAACATCATTTAATATGGGGATAATATTGTCGAGATTTCGGGTGAGTACGCAGCTATCCTAAGGATCTCTGCTCTCTCTTGACATTTCGTGCCCTTTGAGGTTAGCATCATAACTTCGTTAAATATGGCACGCAAGGGCACCTTACGTCCGGCGAGACTTAACTTTACGAATGTAACTGTATTCGACGCTTGCTGAGTAATATTTTTAAACGTCATTCATGCCTATTTATAGCATCCGTTTATACCGGATGACGACAGGCTCGAAGCTGTAAAAGCTATTGGATTTGGCGCGAAACAGGAATTTATTTAAACGTAAACTGCGAAACAAATGACTTCTTTTTACGAAATAAATATATAGATATTTTGTTTGTTACAAGATCTTGTAAATCACATATCTTTGAGGTTTCGTTATATGATATAATTTCTTGGTTACCGCCATTTTTCATGAGTGAACAAAATTGAATGTTAAATTTATTCTACAGTGAGCTTGTGAGAACCAAACATTAGCATTCAATGGCGATCTTTGCTCTGATTCCCACATGTGTCATAAAAGAAATTACAAATGTATGAATAGTATGATGTATAAATTGAAAAATCGGATGATTTTTTAATATATACATCATACTCCATTTACGCAAAATATTTAATATATAATAATAATTTTCAAAAATAATTAAAATTATTATTTATTTTTGTTACTAAATTTATTTTATTTTATTACTAAATATTGAATTGACATTCTTATTAAATTCTAATCAAATATTAATTGCAATTAAAGATCTATCATAAAGGTTTTTAAGATATAAATATGAATTAAAAGGTATTTAAGTTATAAATTGTTTAACCTTTGTAAGAGATAATAACATTATTACAAGATTAATTGTTAAAATACATTTACCATTTTTGTGTCTCTAATTGTATAAGTCGTTGATTCTGATATCATTAATTGTAATTTTTGTAGATTATTTATATATCAGCTTAATATTTTATTGAAAATGCATTGTAAGAAATTTAAATATTTATTTACGTTCTTTCTCAAAAAATAAATATCTTTACAATTTATTGAACATTCTACATAAATATATTTTTTTATATGTTAAATATAATAACAAGATATGATAAATATGATAAAAAGTTATAAGATATATATTGTTAAATAAAATTTATGATTTTCAGAAAAAGAAGACGACAATTGAAATTTTAGAGAATCTTGATGCCGTAAGTATTACAGACAGTAAAGTATTATTTTAGTGTCGTCATGTGTACATCTAATATTATATTATAAAATAGCATTATGTAATGTTTTCTTTTTTTTTTTTATAGCAAATCAAAGAGATTCAACGATATGGACAGACTACAGAACAGAGACATAAGAAGATAGTGGGAACTATCATCATTTATGGAGTTGTTCTTTACATCATGATAGCATTCATCTTTTATTTCTGTTTCTTTCCAGCTTCATTATATGATCAGCTCTTTTATATAACACCATTATTATTTTTCCCAATTTTGTAAGTAATGTGAAAATCTAATTATAGATATTTTTATTTAATATAGATTACATAGAGAAAATACAATCAAAAATACATTTTTCTTTTTTTAGAATCCTTTTAACAAAGAAAATGGTTTCATGGTACTATAATCGTAAAATTACTCATAATCAGGAAAAACTATCTACGATTATATTAGAGAAAAAGAAAATATTAGATGAAGTTACTGAAACAGAAACATATAAGAAAGCTAAAGAAATATTATTAAAGTTTGCACCAGATGAATTAAACATGACACCTGTGAGTACATTTACGTTATTGTTATAATTATTTAATAATCACATTAATTTTATTAAATGTAATAATGTTACATAATAAGTAAAGTTCTTAATATATATATGTATATATATAATTTATATTATTGTACTAATTTATATTTTTTTTTTTCCTACACATATATAAGTATAATTTTATTTATTTTTTATCTTTTCTTTACAGTTAACTCCAAAGGTTTGTATTTGTCACAACTTGTAGTATATATGAGTATAAGATGTCTAAGAATAAGAGTAAAACAAGATGACAATTGTACAGTTGACAAAAAACAGTTTCACTCGTAAAAAAATCTACATGATTTATATATCAATATATATGTATCAATATATGTGTATATATATATATATATATATATATATATATATATATAATATTTGATGTGCATATAAAAGATATAAAATTAATAATTCTGTTTTTAGTTTACTCAAAAGTTGTCATTGCCTACTGAAACACCTCGACGTCCTATGCCACAGGCTATAATATCTCCTCAACCTGGATCTGTAGAATTAAGAAGACGGCCCATATCTCACAATACACAAACTGGTGTAACTGGCACTGCTTTAGTAACCCCCAGCATTAAACCAATTAATCAGCTTCAAATTGTTCCTGTTCCATCTAATGCTAGAATAATTAATCCTGCTTCTATAGGTTTTCGTAAGTAAATATATACTATGTGTAATTATTTTGAAAATTTATGTTTTACTCATATGTCTTAAAGTATTCATATGAACGTCATAAGTCATTCATATGAACTTATTAATTATTGACTTATTTATATGAACTTCTTAATATAGAAATATAAATAATTAATTGCATATATGACTTAGGATCACCATTACCACGACCTGTGCTGCCACAACAAAGAACTGTAATTGATCGTTTGGTTGATTACTTAGTAGGTGATGGTCCTTCAAATCGTTATGCTTTAATTTGTCGGCAATGCGAATCACATAATGGAATGGCTTTGAAAGAAGAGTTTGAATATTTCGGTTAGTAAATAACGCTTTTTTTCAAAAGAACAAAAATATATTTCCACTAACATATACTTTGATAAATAACATATTATTAAATATATGTATATATATATATATATATATATATATATATATATTTGCAGCATTCAGATGTTGCTATTGTGGTTTTTGGAATCCAGCAAGAAAACAAAAACCTTGTGCTCCAAAATTAGATTTTGATAGTCCTGCTGGAACTTCGAATACATCTGAAGCCGATCCTCATGATGCAAATGAAGAGTCAATAAAACTTACTGAATTGGAAACATGTACGCATTCGGATACAGGTATGATATTTCTAAATTTTGCAAACTAATAAAAATCAGATCTATTACTGTTCAATATCTAATTTTTATCAACAAAATTTAAAATTGTATTTGAAAGTCATCAGAACTTTATCAATTGTTTAATAATATTTCTATATATATTTGAATCATTTCATTTTATTTTTTGTAAAGTGTAAAAATAATATATAGTATATAAATAAATTAATATAAATATAATATTTGCATTTCTTTTTATTTTATAGATTCGGATATTGAAGTAGTTGAAAGACCAGGTGAAATGTCTGATACTCAAGAATCAGAATCTAAGGAATTATTAAATGAGTATGAATCTGATAAGATAGAGACGTGACGCAGTACTCATAATTTTTGTAATTGAATAATTAGCCTGAGGGTGAAAAAAATGTTTGTAAATCAGAGTTTCAAGTAAGTTTAAAATTTAATAAAGAAAAAGAAGAGAATATGAAATAGGAGAAAAAAATGAAACATAAATGGTGATGAAATAAAACAAATTATAAAATAATACAACACACAATTATACACATACACATATATATATATATATACATGAATAATTTGGGAGAAAAATCAAGATTTATCTTATATTACAAATGTAATTGTGAATTGAAATATCGCTTTATAATATTGGAAACTGTTGCTATAATATAGAAATAGCATAAGTATTATATGATCATTGGTGATATGTATAGCTACACATATATCATCTTTCTGTGTTATCTAATTTTTTTAGAGATTATGTAATGTTTGCTAGAATTTGAAAATTACACGAAAATTCTATTGCGATAAATGAAATTACAAATCATACCAAATTTTTATTTGTTTAACATTACAATTAATGCTAAATGCAAAAACATGAAAATAAGAGAAAAAAAATAAGAAATATAAATTATTATCTATTTATATAATACAATTTCTTCTAAATATTTTGTAGAGAGATTTCATAGATATATTTTTATACAAAAATATTTATATGAAATCGCATTTCAGTCTATTTATGATCTTTGAGGTATAATTTAATTAAATGCGGCAAAATACTTCAACATTATGAATGCAATTCATGTTGCACAATTAATAATATATTTTTTATAAGACTGCCTATTTTATCTACAGATTATTTATTATAGATCACAATTTCTGATCTTTTTCTTGAAAAAATACAGTCTTCAAATACTATAAATCTTCTTAAGTTTTGTTTTTTATGTATATGTTGTAATAGTTAGGTACATTGCTTTATTAAGAAAAATAGAAATTTGTATTGCAAATGTATTAATTAATCAGCTAATTTTTAAATATAAGGCTACTAAGAGCAAAAGCTATAAGAGAGAAAGAGAGAGAGAGAGAAATATACGAGTTTTATATAGATGCATTATTTTCTTTTGAAAAACGTAAAAAAGCATAAAAAAAGAATACATAATTTATAATGGCAGTGTCTTTGTATGGAAAATTATATTTAATATAAATAATTACTAGATTAAATATAGTACCATAATAAAAAATCCATTTTGAATGTATATTATACTCATGGTTACAATCCACTGTGATTATAGATAGACTAATGAAAGTCATGCTTATATGAATTCATTCTTAAATCTCATAACTAGTGAGCCATAAAGTTACAAATGTGATTGTCTCTTATTATATTATATCTTTTTGCTTTTTGGAAAGAAATTGTATAAAAAAATTGTGGTATTTTCCGGTTTTTTATCTTATCCACATAATTATTATATTCTGCTAGAAATAATAAAAACAGTAATATAATTTCTGATGTTTATCGTTGTAATGTATATATTTAATTTTTTCGCTGATTTTGCTTTTGAAATGGCTGTTATTTACTTTTAATCCACTGGCAAAAATAAGATTATTAAAAACTGCTAATTTCCTGGTAATTTTGTGTAACAAGTTTAATTTTCCTGTTTTTATTAATAGAATATAATAAAAAATGATTGTGACTAACATATTGTTTATTTATCGCGCGAGATATATTGCTTTAATTAATCAATATTCGGATATTCAAAATAGATTTTCTGCTTTTGCTCTCATATGCAATTTAAGTGTTTGAATAGAAAATTGTTTTGTTTGGTTTCTTATCGTGTTTTTAAGGATTATATAAGAATCATATTTTCTTGTGTCCTACATACTTAAAATAATAAAATAGATAAATAATATAGGTAAATAATATATTGATTTATGTATTTATGTGTACTCAAGAAATTGACCAATCACAGTCGAGTATTCTCTTAATATTTGACTGTGATTGGTCAATTTCTTGAGTCTTACAACCTTATGCTACGGCCATTGTAAACCTAGTATAAGGCTTCAGGCCGCAGCACACACTTTTACATAAGCGCATAACCATAAGCATAAGGAAATTGATTGGTCCCCAAGTATATGCATAAGAAAATGAACCAATCAATTTTCTTATGCTTATGGTTATGCGCTTATGCAAAAGTGTGGCCTTTCCTCTACAATGAGTCATAAGTCATAAGCAAATTGACCAACCATAGTCGGTCATTTCAAAAATAATCAATCATGATTGGTCAATTTGCTTAGGTCTTGCGTCTCTCATTGTACAGAAGACCTAAGCATGATCTTTCGATGGCGTCCTCAAAAATGTGAAGCTATGTTCGCATAGACCGACATGTAAATCGACAGTTTGTGCGATAAAAAATAACATTCGTTCGTCGACGGACTATAGCTCGAGGTAAATCTAACAATTTTTTCGACATCACTGTATTATCTTCCGAAAAACACTCGTATATTGCAAGATCAGGTATTGATCTTGGTATTCGCACTAATAGTATCGCGTGATACACCTTATTGTCACTGATATCGATGTGAGTTGCATCAAGTTCTAACGACAAACTTCGTCTCCGCCAATTTTTCTCTTCCGCACATGACGTAGAATTTTCTGGCGGAATCGTTTCGGTCACGATTTTTAACGACGTTCGTAGTTTTTATCGATAACTAACGTATTACGATAGTTGTGTGAAAATTATGATTAAAACCCTCATGCTTAGTAAACTATTTTTCGGATAGCTTTGTCGGACGCCATAATTACCATTCATTTCTGTAATAATTTCGTGCGAAAGATTCATGCTGATTATCATGTAGGCTGTCTGTCAAGAGTGTGAGATCAATTTTTCGCCGGGAAAAGTTGAAAATGTGTAACTTTTTCTTATATCTGTATATTTTATAAATATATTTTTACGACCTATTCGAGAATCATCATGATTAAAGCATGATCAGTATGACTAGATCTTAAAAACGTGTATTCCATTGTTAGAATGTCTTTCTTTTCTTCGAAATTATATGATGATAGTAGAAATTATGATACATTAATCTTTTTTATTTGTAGGCCAGTAAATATGCCGGAGTTGACAGAACTTGACAAGGCGGCTAGTTCGGAGCCTACCAAAGTAGAATTGGTAGGTATTGGCTCTGCAACTGATTCAGATTCAGATGACACCATACCAGAATTAGAAGATGCTGGCACTCCTGGTACTGTCGGATTCCCTGGCACAACCGTCACTGGGCTTCCCATTGATATGGTATCCAAGGCTAAGCAGAGTCGCGGAGAAAAAAAGGCCAGGAAGCTTATGAGCAAATTAGGTTTAAAACCAGTATGTTAATTATTAAAGTATTCTAATATATTTATATATATATATATATATATATATATATATATATATATATATACACACACACAATAATTTTGCCTTTCTTTTGTATATAGGTACAAGGAGTCAATAGAGTGACTATTCGCAAATCAAAGAATATTTTATTTGTTATAAATAAACCAGATGTTTTGAAGAACCCAGCCTCAGACACATACATAGTATTTGGTGAAGCCAAGGTAAGAAATTTAATTTACTGACTGTTTTTAACAATAAATATTATGCATTTGTTAAATCCTTTGTGATGATTTATTGGTTTCGCATATTCTTAACAGAAAAGAAATGTTGACAAATACCTTGGCAGACTGATTTAATTCTTATTTATATTTGTATTAATCTCAAATGTTATATATTTTACATCCTAACTAATTTTTTCCATAGATTGAAGATCTCAGTCAACAAGCTCAAGTTGCAGCGGCTGAAAAATTCAAGGAACCACCAGTTATACCAGCAACTGAAGCTGGAGGCAGTACTACGGTAAGACATCTTCAGTTATATTTTATATTTATATTTTATTAATAGATTTTATTATTATATATTATTATTATATATAAAATAAAATTGCTTATTTTATATATAATAATAATATATAATAATAAAAGGTAGGCCTTCAGCATAAAACAATATATATAATGTTTCTTCATTTTATTATAAGGTTGTTGCTCCTATACAAGAAGAATCAGAAGAAGAAGTGGATGAAACAGGTGTAGAGGAAAAAGACGTTGATTTGGTTATGTGTCAAGCTAACGTATCGCGAGGGAAAGCTATTAAAGCTCTTAAAAATAATCAAAATGACATTGTCAATGCTATCATGGTAAGTTTTGAAATATGTATTTATATCTCATACATGCTTAGTATCTCTGCATATGATGATTATGCTTCAAAGGTTTCGATTATATATTTTTATCAGAATAAAAATTATGTTGAATATCTTGGCAGACTGACGTTTTCTATTGATAAAATATGTTTGACAAATACATAAGGAAATGAAAATTACTATTTTTTTCTTATTTTAGGAATTGACAATGTGATGAAATTGCTTAAAAGTAGGCTGTGCTGCGAGTTGCTGACGTTCCAAGATCATAATTTTATCATACGCACATCATCACAAAAAACATCATTCTTCCTTTTATTCAATTGAAAAAATAAACATGACACCGAGAAAACTGGATACACCTAATTGTTTCGAGAAATACAATTCACATGTATATACAAAGTTCGTGTAAAAGAAAAAAATAAATACATTAAGATCACTATATATCCAAACCATTATCCAATCAAACAACGGCTCGTCATTTTAATTTTTATACTAAAGATACTGAACAATCCTGTAATCGCATGTATATGCAATCATATGCAGTAAAATATGGATTATTATAACATGATTGTATAATTATATAGTGATTTATAATGTATTCTATTGATGGTTAATTGTAAATGTTATAAATTCCTAATTTATATTTCTAATATTTGAATATAAGATATACAAGTGTGGCAAAATTGAATGTCTAAATGTTGAAATATTAAAAATTACATAGAGATATTTAAGAAAAATTATTTATTTGCTAAAAGAAATCGTCTGTCGATATAGATTCTCTGAAATTAGCATTACAATATAAATTAAGTCGATAGTTTATACAGAGAGAAGACTGAGAGACGTCATAGCCTGCTTTTAGGTGATCTCTGAAAGCGATACTCCCTCTATGGACATTGAAAACGTGGACATGAACTACAAAGCCAAGTCCATAAATGTTCTCAGAGGATAATATATAATGTGCACAATTTCTGGTTTTGTTCTGTGCTATGTGCACGAAATGTCGATAGCATCACTGCTGTATAACAAGATATTTTTATGTATGTAAATTGATGTAAATTTTATTTGAATGTATATTATAAATTATAAAAATTCTTAAATTTTTGGTAAAGGAATATACTACTTTTAAACAGTATAAAAGAA